GAATACGTTAAAGCAGACATACGATGGGAACAGCGTGTCCCTCCAAATCAAACACTGACCCCACACCTTTTGGGGATGAGACCTTTTTTTTCCCCCCGTCTCTTTGCAATCAGATTTAGCTCTACTTTCTCTCAGTCAGACACGCCACTTATATGATCTGTCAGGGGTTCTTTTTACGAAATTTCCCGTCAGCAGAACATCTTTTTTTTTTTTTTAGCTCAGCTTTTTCAAAGGTACAGAGAAGTTTCCTTGTGTGCAGGTTATTTGGAGACGTCACTGTCTGCGTCCACTGCCAGGGTTTCTGTATTTTTCCATGTCCAAGCCTGCTTAGGACTTCTTAGTCCGACTTTTCTGGGCCTTCATAAACAGTGGGCTCTATTGTAGAAGTCCTGCTTTGACACTGCATAAAGGACGGAAAGATTTAACAGGTTAAAAAGAACAATGCAACAACACTCATGCTGATTTTCTCCAAAATTATTCAGTTTTTCTCATTGATACCCTTCGTTCACGACTGTATAACTCAAAGCAGCTATGACATGAGATTTACTGCATAGGAACATTATGGACATTAGTATCTGGCCACAAGGAACAGCTTTAATCTTTTTAATGTTTTGCATGAAGCTGCGTTGTGCTGTGTAGAAGAAACCAACGACACTACACAGATATTTATCTGCACCAAAAGTCCAGAGAACTTTTAGTTCCAAAAACATCCAGAAACTTTCCGCTTTTCTTAAAGATGCCTTCAGGCCGTTGTCATGAGTATTTCCACTGCAGTGTGAGGTTGTGTAGCTGTGTTGTTCTGTCATTTTTGCACATGACAACACACACACACACAAATCATGACAGCCATAACAAAAACTTTTCGCTGCATGTGCACCTATCGCAGAGTTTGATTCTGTAACTCCGTCATCTTTCAGCACAACGATTAGAACAAAGTAGCTTGTTTGCAGTTGCAGGTCTTGGGGAAAAAAAGCAGATTGGAAAACGAGGGAGAACCAGTCGGGCTCCTCAAGCGTTCTGAAGAACCGTTGTCATGAAACTTCATCGAGACCCCAGTTCCTCTGTTAAAAGCTAAAGCTAACAAATATGTCAGTCAACAGGAACTTGAGGCAGACTTAGTGTGGCATGAACAAAACCATAATCTGCCCTTTCAGCCTTTCTGTTTCTCCGACCGATACTTTAACTCCACCTGCACCAAAACAACAACAAATAGTAGTTATCAGTCGTCTGAGTGGTAAATTGTAGGAATATAGTTGAATATTTGCAGGACTGATGGAAATGTGGACATCCGGTGCTGGATATTTAGATAATGTGGTTGTTCTGGTTGCAGTTTCGAAGTTTCTCATTGTAGGCAGGTCTGTCATCCAAAGGTGCGAAAGAATGCTACATCCCAAACAAGCAAATGAAAATAAAACAAACACATCAGTCATTTCTAACTGCTGCATGTATTTGAAAGTGACGGCAGACAAACATGCTCCTACAGGCCAACAGTCGTCCACATGACAGACTTCTCTTGTTTCGCCTGAGAGTTTGTCAAACAGCACATCGTTGACTGTATGCAGAACTTTACCCTTTTCGCTGCATGTGTCCAAACATGTTGCCCTATTCAGACACTTCGTGTCAGGAAGATTTTCACCAGCCAGGGCGAGCATTCCTCCACCCCCCAAAATGTCAAGTTCAGTTTCCCCTCGCAGCAGTGTTTTTAAGAGCATTCATCTTCCTTTCTTTCATGCCGGACTTGATAATTGTTGCACACTGGAAGATGCAATGTTCCAAGACAAGATCGGCTCATTAAGTTTGATTCCTCTCTTGTTGGTTTAAACTTGTTGCCCTCTTCGGCGAGCTGCAGGAATTCAAAGTATGCACAGCTCTGTTTTGCAAATCTTATTATCCCCCCGCAGATCTCATGCAGCGTTCAGTGTGTCGTACAAACTGTGTCACTTCGCTGTTATCGCTCTGAATGAGAAATGTCCCTTAACAGACTCTTGTTTCAAGGTAAATTCCAGTTTTGTTTGATGTCGAGATGAAATAACAGTCAGGACTTTGAACTTTACAACTGGCCGACCCAGACGCTTAAACCTGCCCCTATATAGCTGCCATACGTTCCTTGATGTTGATAAGATTTTTTTCTGGATGTCTGGATAGAACAGCTGATTTCGTGGTTGTGAAGTAGGAGATAACTAATAGAGACAGAGAAGCGGAAGACCAAGCAGTGCTATGCTCCATTACCAAACAAAGGAGCCCCTATTTAATCCTTGAGACATGCAGAAGAAAGAGAAGCTGGGAAGGAGATGCTGTTCTATCAAGTTTCCAACAATGGCTCTCAGACAGAGGAGGGGAAGACGGAGACACAGATAAACCACTCATGGACAGGCTCTTCTCACGGCAGCTGTATCTCACAGGAAATTTGCACATTTTTATGTGAGAAAGTGGATGTTCTCCAACTGAGTCCATATAAAAGAGCTTATTGTGGCATATGGACTCTACAGAAAGTAGAAACAGAAAGACAATGACCAAGTCCTCACTCTTTTTTTTTTAGACATAAACAGAAGTGTAGAGTCCACAGTCATGCTAGCAGCAGGAGGTGGTCGGTATGGCTTTAAAGCACATGAGCACAACCCACAAAAAAAAGACTTCCCAACTCGGTCTTGGTCGTGATTTGGGCTCAGTTTAGGTGATTTTTACTAGAACACCAGTTATCACAATTCATTTTGAGGAGAACATCAGTGTCTGTACCACATTTATTGGTAATCTGTTCAATACAATAACACATAATAGCCTCATGGTGGCGCTAAAGACAAAGTTTGATCAGTAAAACTGTTTGGGTTCATCATCTGGGAAACATGAAAGCTGTGCCAAATATAATATCAGAACATAACGACTTTTCACTCCTAAAATGTGTCGTAAAAATGTAATAATCTGTAAGTATGGTTGATATTATGGCCAATTTAAGCTTGAAGCAGATACTAGTGAGTAAAAAGAATTTATTATGTAGTTGAGAAAGATTTTGAATTTTGCAGTTGACAAAGTTTCTATATCTTCTCACTCAGAGTTTTTCCCTCCAAACATGCCAGATTTCTTATTTAGCGGCTTCTGACACACATCAAGGTTCAGACGAACGTAAGTCTGTTAAACAGAAAAAAACCTGAAAAGCTTCTACTCATCAAATTTTTGTGGAAAGCAATTTGTAACAAAATGTTTGATTTCAGATGCATTTGCAACCATAAATTTCCACATGCAGCTCTGCAATATCAACGTCTTTATCAGCCTCAGAAGGGCAGCACCAGGCAGCCTCTACTAAGCTTGGAAACAGCACATTTTGTATGTATAACCATGTGTACAGTGTTGATTCTGTAATTTTGTGGTCAACATGGAGCATGCAGCGAACAGAAGATCTCATAATACAAGCTTTCAGGCTTTTGCTCCCGTTCTCTCATATCACTGTGACTATTATACAATCGGCCCCAGTGGGGAACTGAGCCCCGTTTTGCATATTAAAGTCCCCAAAATCACACATCAGGCTCATATTATTACCTATCTGTCATGGTTGTACAAATGTAAATATGTATTCAGCAGAGCTGTAGGGAAGCGAGTTTTTCCAAACAGAGTCCTTGTGGAAATATGAGCTGTGAAAATAAGTTGCCTCGGGTCGTGGAAAACTGCTGCTGTGAAAGTGCACGTAGCGACGGGAGCTGTTTACACGCCTGTTTCCACACAAACGGCAGAACGATGCGCTGATCCAGCCCGTTCCACTTCTGAAAACTAATTTGCTGCGTTCAGCTACTGTGTTTGCTCTGATTTAAGCGGCAGAATGAGAAAATGCCTTTCAGTGAGTGAAATTGTGCTCCTGGGGAGTCTTTTTAACAAAACCACAAACAGCTACAGACAATTTTAACACAATGTGCCCGTAAACAAAAGCAGACACAGAGAGAGATTCTGTTTGGGAAACTGGAGAGCTTCTATTAGTGCATGCATGTTGTGTCCAGATGCTTTTGTTGTCCTGTGAACAACTGCAGGGTTCTGTCAGATGATTGCAGATGTAATCATTTCAATTTGAATCCTGATTCTCATTTCTAATATTGCGTTTGAGCAAGAAGAAAAGAAAAAAAAAGTGAAATAAAAACTTGTGTAAGTTAGGAATTTAGTGTTTTCTTTATATAATAATAAATAAAGATGTGTCCATGTCACAATGAATACGATATTTGTTTCTGTGTTGATTTTTAATCTTAGTATTAAAATGGTGGCACTTGTTGGTTCTAGGGCATCATCATCCCATCGACTGCTCCATTCTTACATCATGCATACTACCACTTTTACTACTAAAAAGAAGACTAGTAAAATTTTCAGAAAGCATATAAATGTAACAGCATCACTGCTGTCTTTTCTACAACGTGCACTTTTGCGTCAATACATGCACAACTACACTAAAGCGGGTTCATTTTCATTTTTCAGGAGTAAATAACTGGAATCTAGCAGCCCAATATTATTGAATCAGTAATTTCTATCAATCTGGAATCTTGGGTTTGATATTCAAGCTCAAACTGACTTCATTTAGTACGTAGGTGTTCCTCAGGGAACCATCTGTGGTCCCCTGTAGTTGCAAAGCTGCAGCAATTGTTTTTATTTGATTAAAACTTGTTCAGCCTTTACTTTTTGTGCCTTTTGAAAAGTAAATCTTACTTGGTTCAAAAAGGGCAAAAGTAAGTTCACCTAAAGTGCAAAATACTAAATAATATTAATAATAATATTTGCTTTTTGTCCCTTTGTTTAATCTTTTATTTCTTTAAATATCTACAAATCTGGGATTTATCTTATAGATGTATGCATTTTTATAAAAGATCCACACTCTTTATTCTGCTCACATAATCCCACTGGGGGAAACAAAAATCTGTGAAAACGACAGTAAAAACCTCATATAACTGTTTATGGTTCTGCATAACAACATATACAGTGTTTGTGTTAATGTATTAAAAAAGAATTGTCTCTTCTTCTGTCCACAGACTTTGAAGATGAGGGTGTGGATCGTCTTCCTCCTGTGCCTGGCTGGCCACGCCATGGCTGCTCCTGTAAGTGTGTGTGGTCCTGCTGTGGTCTTTGTCTTTTTGTGAGCATGTTCCTCTCTTTGTGTGGCATCCTTTCTCCTTTCCTGTGTGATCTCAAGCTCACGCGTGACGATGCGTGATAATTGCGTTTTCTCGTTCATCCAGACATCCTCTGCTTGTTCTTGTGTGCGTTCGTGTGCGAGAATGAAAAGTTTGTTTTTCCACAGCTCCCCCGAGTGTAATCAAATTGTGTGTATAATCTGTTTGTGCTATTGTGCGAATGAGACCATTGTCTGCTTCTGGCTTCCTTCACTCAAGTGTTTTTCTATGAGCAGCTACAAGTGTGTTGTGCTGGTTTTAAGTGTGTCTCTGTGTGTGTGTCTCAGACTGAGGAGGAACCCATCGTGGAATACGAGGCCGTGGTGGGAGAGGAGATCGTTGTGGAGGAGGAGCCAGCAACCGAGGAGCCAATTGTTGAGGTCAGTCCAGATGTTCCTTCAGTTTCATGGTGCTTGTTAGTCTTTGCGTTCTCCAAAATTCTTATTCTGAAGAATTCTATCATTCAACATAGTCTTCATCAGCCGAGGATTCCACGGGGATGTGGTTTTATCTGAGAACTTTAAAGACTTCTTGTCCATGTTAAGTTATTTATCTAACAGAAAGCACCTAAATCATATTTTCTGAATTTTATTGTGGCTAATCAGAGCAGATTCACCACGTTTTCTCATTTTTGTCCAAATTGTTTTGTAATTGCTCTGATCAAGTGTTTGCTCTTGGTAAATGACTGGCTCTGGAAACGTGACAGCACACAGCGATGTAGAAATACTCCACTACATGGACACGTCCTGCATGAAAAAGTATTAGCAGCAAAATGCAGTTGGCTTCTGATATGGTCCCTCTGACTGACATGTGCCATCATTAGATTATCAATAAGGAAGCTGTAATGCTTTAGCAACGTGTTCCTGTTGGAGCTGCTGCAGGTGGAGCTGGTTTGAACTGCTTTATATCCAGTTCTAAGATGCAGACCCAAAAGATAAATGTAAAGGCTCCAAACTTATGGGAGAGGAAAGAAAAAAACAAAGTTCTGATCCACAATCTGTTTTCATTTTGTCTTTAACTTCTTATTTTTGCTGAGATATTGGATCATCTAAACATTAACTGATTGCACACTGCCTTTTGTTAGAAGCCAAAAAGGTTGGAAACCACCGATTTAATCCCAAAGAAATGGTTTCATGTGTTATATTTTTAAAAATGTGTTATTTTTTACATTACCAGAATCATCCTTCACACTTCAACGTTTATGCTGCCATGATCGCTTTAGGAAACTCAACCCAAACACTTTTTTTTTTGCTCTCACATCCGCACCGTGTTTTCTGAGCCATGCAGCTGCTCCGAGAGATGAGCTGATGTTTGAAGGAAGCGTAGGGGGTTCGAGGGCTGCAGCCAAAGAAGTTCGCTGGTATTTTCTCACATGGTTGTGCAGCGGTGCTTTTTCATGTGTACACCCACAGCGAAGCAGCTTCACGCAGCCTGTAGAGGAATCAGACTAGAGACATGTGAATATGCAAAGAAAGATACACCTCAAAGAGCACGGCCCAGGTCCAATAGGGATTAAAGAAGCCAGATCTGCTTTTTTAGGTTTTCCCACTCCTTTAGTATGTTATAGCTCTATTGTGCATGTACAAGGTTAAAAAGCAAAAAGATTCTCTCCCACAGAAAACAATTCAGTTCAGTTCAGTGTTATTCATATAGCACCAATTCACAACATCTATCAACTCATAATAAGGTGAAAACCTTGCAGATTTTAAACAGAGAACCCAACAAATCCAGAGTTGTCTTTGGATTCCCTTAAAACAAGCAGTCGGCGACGGTGGGTAGGAACCACAAAAAAAGAACAACCCTTTAATGAGGAGGAAAAAACACCTCAGACAGAACCAGGCTCAGGGAAGTCGGCCGTCTGCCGTGATACCTGCCTGAAGCAGCCTGTTTGAAGTCTAGATTTTTCCTCCATCACTTACATGTCTTCCTCTACATGCAACAGTCTGACATGATTTCCTAAACTGAGCAACTTCTTCCAGCTATACTCAGAGTTACTGTACATAACCAGCGTTCCCTCGCTATCATCGAGCCAGAAGTCCCTGACATCAGTTTGATTCACTAAATTAAAGATTTACCAAAGTCTAACCAACCAAATCGTTTAAATTCTTTCAAACATATTTTTCTTTGAAGCTTTTGACCAAATATTTCCAACAGACAGAGATGGAAAACATTCATTTCTTCCAGCTCCTGCCATGTTTTTACCTTATTAGGAGAGGAGAGAAATCACCTGACTGACAACGGTTACTTTTCAAACCGTCCTCCTTAACTGGACGTAAACAACGCAGAAGTATCCCTGCACCAAAGGTTTCAGTCTTCATGTGAAGGTTTTATCGTTTCCTGCTCCAGAGGTCCAGCGGGACCAAAGATCCCACAGCTGTTAATTTTAGCCGCTCGTTCAGCTGGTCAGGAAGCCATTACGTTTTTCATAGCTTCACCACATGTAGACCCAGCTGCTTGTTATTGTTGGATATTATGGTCTGGCTGCTCCCAGACTCTGTTTGGCCTTCAGGGAGGAACCTTCTTTAGTGGTGACGTTTCAAGTTTTTTTCAGGAAAACCAGATATATTTAAGCGGTTTGGTTTAAGTGGACGTCGAGCAGAAATAGACCCAAAGACCGAAAATCATCGGCTACACCGAGGAACACTTTATCAGATCAGAAAGGTTGATGGAATTAGCTGATCCTCACTCTGATTACTTTATGATGTGTCACGCAGCCTCTGACAGTCTGACCTCTGACCTCTCATGTTCCCCAGGAGACCGAGGTGGGGGCCAACCCAGTGCAGATCGAAGTTGGAGAGTTTGACGAGGCCATTGAGGTTGTTGAGGACGTTGCTGCCGAGAGTAAGTCATCACGCAACTTGTTTTTGTAGCTCGGGAGGACAGTGGACTGATTTACATTCACTCTCTCAACCATCCTTGATCTCCAACTGTCACCCCAAACAGGTGTAAGTTTCTAACATATAATGACAAAATGTGGCCCCTAATCTAGTGTTGTATGCACCAGTTAAAGTATTCAATCGTTTGTTCAAGGAGTTTAATTGATAAATGCATTCTCAAGCCCCTGACTCTGACTCCAGCCCTTGAGCTAAACTTCAGTCTGACTTGAAGCCTAAAATCAAGTCTAAATGCTCAAACTAACTTGGTCAGTTGGACACTTCATCCAGGTCCCTATGGTCAGTTTTGAAGAAGTAAGGCTTTAGCATCATTTGTCAATGCGTAGGGTACTATCAAACTGTAAATACCAGAAAGTCACCGATGCTCATTTTCAAACGGAGGACAATGGAGGTGAGGATTGTTGCAGATGGGACTATTTAGCAATAATGGGTTCACATGTACTGTGATAGACTGGCGACCTGTCCAAGGTGTCCCCTGTCGTCGCCCTGAGTCAGCTGGGATAGACTCCAGCCCCCCTGTGACCCTAGTGAGGATTATGCAGTGTATAGATGATGGATAGATGGGTGGATGGATGGATGGATGGGTTAACATGTAAAGGGCGCTAATTTAGTCCAAACCATGATCTCTTCCTAACCCTAACAGAGTAGTGTCAATGACTAAACATAACCAAATAGTGACTGAGGCCAAAAAATGTGCTCAGAATTTGGAAAAACATAAAAAATACCAAGAATTAAATGTACAAAGTTTTAAATGGAAATCACTCTAAAAGCAAGGATCCAAACCTTACAATGTGTTCAAATATGCTTTTTCAGTTTTATTTTTTTGCTTCAAGTGAAACTAAAAAAAGACCAGACCCAGAGCAGTGTTTAGGTGTGGGACATTATCAAGCTGTTAACACATTAAGTGTATAATTTGCAGTGAAGAAGTTAAAGGAATAATCACTTAAATTGATCAACGTTTAGGTAAGAATTCCTGGAAATGTGTCTTTTACATGACATCACTGTACAGATACGTCCACACACACCTACTCTGGCTTTCATAAATCCTGAAGTGTCAGTGACTCCGGAGATAACGATGTGTCATGTTGTTTTCTCGCACACGACGTCCTCCGATATACATTGTGACAGCGTTTCATTTAGCTGCATGTCACCGCCTGTGTCCTGCAGCTACAGAGGTATCCGGGTTTAGCGAAGCCTCAAACTGGCAAATCAAACAGTCGTAATGACAGACTGCCTCGTTGTGTGAGGAGACAGCTGTAATTACATGTTCCACCCTGCTGTAAGAGGCAGCTCGACCACAGACGACACCGACGGCAGGAAGACAGCCCAGACCTACAGACTGTACACAATGTTCTGCCTGAGCAGTGAGAAAAGATGGACTCGGCTCCGTCACGCTGCTGAAAAGCATCAGAAACACCAGAGAAACTTACTTTGAGAAGTACTCAGTCTAAATAGTCTTTTAAAGTACTTAATGAAGAACCTTGCACATGTTAGTACCGCTGTGAAAATGAAATAAGGTGACAACTGAAATCCACATTTTTAATAATACGACAGGCAGTGTGAATGAAAGATAGAAGGACAGCTCGGAACAAAGGAAAGCAGGAGACTAAAAAAACATGTCAGTGATTATTTTTAAAAGTTTAATTTAATAAAGTTTTAAAAGTAACTTAAACCCAGCCAAGTGGAATGAATGGAAAAGTAGAAATGTGGGGGGAAAATAGTAAAATAACAGAACAAAAGAACAATTCAGAACCTAAAAAGTCAAAAAAAAAAAAGTAAAAAAATCGAATCTAATTCTGCATTTGAGTTTCTAGAGGCATGTAAACCTGCTTCTTAACCTTAAAAGAAACAATCAGGTGTTTAAGAGATGAAAATCATTTATTGGCACACATTTTTCTCTACATGTGGCCTCCTTTTATTATTAGATGCTTGGAAAAAAACAATTAAAAAAAAAAAATTCATAGAAAAATAAAATATTTTTTTTTTCTCCATCAGAAATTAGTTTAATGCACTGTAAAATAGTTTTATTATCCGTGTACCTTTCGTGCTTTCGGCTTTAATAATTCCATGACTGCAGCTGTTTTCATATGAGGCAATATTTTTACCAACAGGAGCGACATTCACACATTTCTGTCGGCAGTTTTCATGCTCATGTCGTCATTTCCTCATGTTCTTATTAATCCTTCCACGTATAAAGGATTTCACTTGAGTTTTCTTTTGGCAATAACTGTGCTGGAAAAAAAAAAAAAAAGAAAGAAAAGTATTTGCGTCTGGATTGGATCATGTCGGCTGTTTTTATTCGCTGTGAAGCAGACAGCAGCTCAGGCCTCTCTGCTGGTGTTGTCTCCACACAGATCCCTGCCTGAACCACCACTGCAAGAAGGGCAAAGTGTGCGAGGTCGATGAGAGCAACACCCCCATGTGTGTGTGCCAGGACCCGTCCACCTGCCCCACCGCCGAGGGAGAGTTTGAGCACGTGAGTCCAACAAGTCAATTCATCAGCATGATGAAATACATTTTTTATTTTTTGTGGAATTAGTGCTCATGTCTGGATATTGGATGTTTTTTGACGTACCTCCTGTGACACCGGTTTGACTTTGCGTGTGCTAAACATGCAACCAATCGTCGGTCTGAGCATTATTTTCCTCTCTTCCAGGTTTGCGGCACTGACAACAAGACCTACGACACCTCTTGCCACTTCTTTGCCACCAAGTGCACCCTGGAGGGAACCAAGAAGGGCCACAAGCTGCACCTTGACTACATTGGACCTTGCAAATGTGAGTCCTCGCACATTTATTGAAAAGACACGATGCATTGTGACACAACACATCGCGATACATCATGATATGATACGCTGCCAAACATTTTGACTTTTGGTTATAAGGTGAAATGTTGTGAAGTGATATGCTATGATAACGTTATGATAAGAGATATGCTGTCCATGAAAACACCAAATCTGTTACCGCTCTAGTTCTGGTTCAGTCGTTCTGACTCAGTGCTAAAACAATGAAGACTGCATCAGTAATTCACAGCTGAGAGTCTCACGAGAGGCGACATAAGCAGTGAGTTAATTTAGACGATATATTAAAGGATGCCTTTTTTTGAAAACCTCACAGGGACGTCTATAGTGTCATTCGTGGAAATCACACCACAGACACTCAAACCAAGCGTGTGCATCACACAGATGTCCTGAGTGAAAGCTGTGATGAACATCTCTGTTAGAGGTCAAACTGGGGCAATCTTCTGTGTGTGTTGAGTCACTGAGTAAACGCTGCCTCCACCGAGGACACACCCATGTCACTGGAGCCAGATGTTGAAGTCAGCTGCGGAGAAAATGCCTATTTCATCAGATTTAAAAATATCAATTCGATCATTTGAGTGGTCAGTGCCTGTAGAGTTGCTGTGCAGGTAAAAACCACAGAAAAGAAACAATCTGAGCACTTTGCTGGAGTTTCATCTTCTTAACTTCAGTCTTAGTTCATGCATTTGGGTGTTTTAATGTCATTCCTCTTACATGTTTGGACATGGCATGGCTGCTGTTTTTTTTTTTTTAATCTCTTTGTTCACTATTGAGGGATCAAATGTAGCTTAAGACCCTGTTTGGTTCCCACTCAGCTCCTTCTATGATAAGTTAGGAAGCCAAAGCTGAGCTCAGGTCTGTCAGCACATCTTTTCTCTTAGCGTACTGTTAGTCCTCAGCGTCTCCACTCTGGGAGTTAGCGTGCTGTGACTGATGGGCGGGTCGGACGGTCGTGTCGAGCCTGAAGGTTTGCAGCTCAGCAGTGGGAGGATCCATCCAGACACGCAGGCTGCATTTCTTTCACTGTTCAAACTGAAACACACATACAGTGTGAGGAGATGAGTCAGGGCTGAAGGGCTCAGATGGAGATCAGTGCACCGAACAGGACTCAGCTTGTGAGGATGAGTTTGAGTGTTTCACCCTTAAGAGCGATACAGGGGAGCTGATCGCATGGTTACAAAATAAAGGAATCCAGTTTCCCAGTTTAGATTCACCTTTTACGTTGCAAACATTATTTTGACAGACTGGACTGGCATAACAATGTCATTTAAACTTCGATTTCTACATTTAAAACTAAATTCAAGTCGAGGTATTAAATTTGCTTCATTTTTCTTCACCTTAAGCGGACGATTTCAAGTCCCCTCGTTTATCCTAACTTGCATTTCAGAAGGTTAAGACTGGTAATTAAAAATGCCTTTGATTGTACTGGAAAGCCCCTAACTGCATTTAATTCCTTTAGAAGTTGTATTTTTTGGAGGATGGAAGACTTTTTTTAAACGAACTGAGCAGGTTCACGATTACATCCTGTCTTGTACAAGAACTCGTAAAAGTTGGATTTGAACAGATAAAGATATAAGACGAAATGCAATAACTGAATGAAACAAATCAAAAACACAGCGTCACGCTAATAACTTTAAAATAACGAGTCACTTCAGATGCTTTAAAGGTTTTCAGAGCTTTTGACTCACTGTCACTCATTCATTCAGCTCTACTGGTTGAATGAAGACAATGAGTCCCAGTTTAAAGCTCTGGAGGTTCGTAAGCAGACCTTTAGGCAACCAGTGTGCCTTGTAGGAAAATACTATTAGACAGTTTACAATAATTTCACACTATTTTGGAGCATTTGCAAAGCATTTAAGTTGTTTTTTTTCCTGCTTCAATTATCAGAAATCACATGGCTCCAGTTTAAAACACGTGTTGCTCTACATGTGTACATGATTCATATTCATTCAAGTTAAACTGTGCGTCTCTGTGCAGACATCGAGCCCTGCATGGACAGTGAGCTGAACGAGTTCCCCCTGCGCATGAGGGACTGGCTGAAGAACGTTCTGGTGACTCTGTACGAGCGCGACGAGGACAACAACCTGCTGACCGAGAAGCAGAAGCTCAGGGTGAGTCCCGTTTAAACTTCAGACTGCTGGAAGAAATGCGCCGATCCTTCACTGCAGTGCAACAATATGGGAAGATTTTGTCACAAGTGAAAGTCCCACATGCACAAATCTACTAAAGTGAAAGTGTACAAGTGTGTACTTAAAGTTTTAGGAGTTCTCATTTAATAGAAACATGTTTTTTTAAATGTTTTTTGAGCTAATTTTACCTCTATGGTCCACTGAACATGGGTCAGATCCCTCCCGAGGGTCCAAGAGATGGTTAATGAGGGTTGGAAACACATCTACAGCCATTTATTTTCATTTTCTTCATTTTTTGGTGGGCAATTTTACCAAATTGCACCTTTTAAAAGAAATGAATAAAGCGGGATTCTGTACACAACAATACAGAGATGCAAAGGAACCTGCACGTAGATATCAAAGCACAAACTGTTCAAACATCATTACACAGACGTTAAAACGCATCTTTAATCTAATATATTGTCCTTTTAACACACACTGCATTTGACTACGTAACACTCAAAACCCTCATCATGCGTGTAAAGGAACCTCAAAGAAAGAACCTTAACGAGATGGATCGCTTCACTCCCTCTGAACAATTCAATATTTAGCTTGAAGCACAAACTTTAAGCTAAAAGAAACCATTTAAAGTTACAAGACACCTCATGTACATCACAACACAGACGGTTTAACAAGATGTCGCTCGTGTATCACAAATATTTAAATGCATTACAGTAAATACTGAAAGCTAAGTTTTGTCCAGCGATTCAGCCAGAACGCTGAGTTTAAACAAGTAGAATCTAAAGTCCAACATCTGTCTCATAGCTCCAGAGGTGGCTTGTAAAGAACAAAGACCAACTCAAACTGTGTGAGAAAGTAACTCATTCAAACTGTTTGTATGTGAACACTGAGAGAACTCATGGATTGTGCTTTTGACAGCGTTACGCTGATTTAACACGGTGATCCATAAAGAAAAAGCTCTTTTTGTTGTGACACATTCCTCACTGTGTGAAACCTTTGCGCCGCTTACGAATGATTTTCCTCGAGACTGAAGTGATTCGTTTGTCTTATTGAGTATTAATTGTGTCTCCACTTGTCCGTTGAGAAGCTGTTCATGTGTGGTGACGTGAAGTGTGTCTGTGTGATTGCTTCAGGTGAAGAAGATCTACGAGAACGAGAAGAGGCTGCAGGCTGGCGATCACTCCCTGGACCTGCTGGCCCACGACTTTGAGAAGAACTACAACATGTACATCTTCCCCGTCCACTGGCAGTTCGGTCAGCTCGACCAGCACCCCGTCGACGGGTTCGTACTGCACACACAAACGAGCTTCTGGCAGACAGAGCTGATTGGTTTCCAGTGTGGAGAAAGTGGCCTCTGATCTCAGACCAGAGTGAAATGATGGATCCAACAGTTCAGCACCCACTTATTCTAAAAACGGATGACGTGGCTTCTAGACCCTAAATGCACCCGCCAGAACCCAAACTTTATGGCATTTTCCTGTTGGCTGGTGATGATTTCACCATGTCCACAGTCATGCTGACAGACTCAGAAAAACTAGTGTAAGCAAAGCATGAACATCGATCTTTTTCTAATGGAATCATGGTCAACCAACCAACTACACTGAGATAAAGAGATTCCTCTAAAGCCAAGTTTTAAAGTTTCTAAAAATCAGATTGTTCCAACCAGTGTCTCCACAAGATATTAACCACACCATATTCATGAACACAAGGTTTTAGGTTGACAGCAGTTTAGTAAATTAGGTTCCTTCGATTAGATACTCGATGAGACTTGGTCCATCGGTTCTGAGTGCAACGGTCAAGTTTGACCACAAAAAACAGATTCAAGGCTTCGTGGTAATAATTTGGAATATTCTCAAATTCATTGTTTTAGTAGAATTTATAAGTAAAAGAAACGTCGCTCACCTTTCAGTGCTGCTTGTATCATATTTGTGACACACAGTCGCAACCACCTGATATGTTCAGTGAGCAGGGAAGGGATTTGAATTTTTGTTAAGTTTTCATGCCAATTTATTGCAAGTTCAGTTTGATTTTAAATTGACTGAATGCAATCACCAACATTATTAGATACATAGACGACTTTACTTTCACTACATAAAATTTTCAGTACATTAAAAAAAATTAAATTGCATTTAGAATGAACTTACAGTCGACACAACGCTTAGAAAAAAATAAAGTTTGCAACTTAAAATGTGGACCTTAATTGGTAAATTAGATTTTGTTTCATGCCACGCGTGTAATTAAATCGAGAAAATACGAACGTTTGTGCATACTTTACACTATGAAGCAAACACCTCTGCAGACCATAGACTGTATAAAAGATGGACGTAGCAACCGGCCCTGAAAAATGAAGCCAACCCGGAAGTGTCAAAAACCTGCAATATCACTACGTCCACTAGCTGCTGGCTCCAAAAAGCCCTGGCTCTCATAGACTGGAATTGGAAAAGAAGTGATCACAGATCAAGAAATACTCCATTCCTACAGCTCAGGACGTTTTTCTTATTAGTTTTCATGGTCAAATCCAGAGATCAGGTGGCCAATCTGAAAATAAATCAATACTGAATTTTTAAAAAATCTTCAACATTTTGCGGGGCAAGGGGCGTGGCTGGCTTGATTGACAATCGGCAGCAACCATACAGACGAAGCGAGCAGAAGGCGGTAAATGTGGGCGGGCAGAGAGGGCCCGCCTCTCAATCCATCTGACCAATCGCTGCTCCTATGGCTCCGCCCCCCTCCGACGATTTTTGCGTCACTGGCTCCAAAAATCCAAGATGTCAACCAGGAAGTAGCAAAACCCTGGCTTCATTTTCTCAGTGCAGAAACCAACGGGTGACGTCACGGTAGCTACGTCCATCTTTTATACAGTCTATGCTGCAGACTCATTGATATGGTGTCTTGTGTGTGTTCTCTCCACACTTGGAGCTGAATCCCTGTTTGTTCATCTCTGTTTCTACATTTGTGCTTCCTCAGATATCTGACCCACACAGAGCTCTCCCCCCTGCGTGCTCCCCTCATCCCCATGGAGCACTGCACCACTCGCTTCTTCGAGGAGTGCGACTCTGACAACGACAAATACATCGCCCTGGAGGAGTGGGCCACTTGCTTCGGCATCAAGGACCGTGAGTGTTGGCTTTTTTTTATTTTGTAGTATTATTATTAAAAAAATAATAATAAAATAGCTCCACAAAATGTCCTCTGAAGGATTGAAATACGGTTACAACACAGTGACTCGTGTACAGCCAGCACTATGCAGTTTTCTTCCTCTGGAGTTCAGCTCGTCTCGCTGCTGACTGACTGCAGCTTTATGGGAGTTTAGCTGAAACTATAGTTTCTGGGTTACAAACAAATATGTTTTTGAAGGTGTCTAGGATTTTTCTACTGATTTAGGACATTTTTGCAACACTGAATACAAAAATGACATCTGCTTTTCTGTATCAGGTTTTTATGCCAACTCAGTTTAAAAAAAATCGATTTTGCCACTAAATTGATTATATTTGTTGACATTAGCAATTGATTTATTTTAGTATTTCTCATATAAATTCAGATTTTACAGGAAAAGTTTCATTTTATAATCCTTTCCATAAGCTAAATGATCCAAAAGTTGATGAGTATAAACATTTGTAAAGGTAAATACAAGTAAAGTGCATGTGGTGACAAATCAAAATTTTGACCTCATCGAGCAAAACCAATGGAATATTTGGATTCAGCACATTGCAACTGTCCAAAATCAGCTCAGTGGGTGTAGACCAGTGCTATTAAACATCAGGAAAAGTTTAAAAAAATGTCCAGAGGAGACATTTTCTGTTTGCTTGTAGCAGCAGATCCTTACAGCTGGAAGCAGAAACTGAGATTATTTTTCATTTATGTTGAATAAATGAACAAACTAAACGAACACATCGTCAGTAAATGTCATTTAGGATGTTCTGGACCAACTATAACTTAACTGTGAGAAATATTTGGCCATATTTTACCAAAGTAAAGCTTCACATCTCCATAATGTTTCACAGAAATATTATTTATCGATGAATTATTTGAAATTCTGACTCCATAAATAGCAACTTACTATTTATGAAAATGCTCCAAATAATTGAAAAAGACAAAGGATAATAATTTAGTGTTAATGTTCTTTTCACATCAGATTAATATGCATTTTATTTTCCATCACATCTACCTTTTTTTTTTAGTTTCCCTACTCCGCTACATTTCTCCCCCTCACTGACTGATTTATTGGATGTTTCCTCTACTGTCACGCCCTCGTTAATCATTCTATCAGTCGGTGTTGATGAATGTTTTGTGTCTTTGTGTTTGCAGAGGATGTCGACAAAGACCTCATCATCTAAACTCCTCCTCCGTCCGACCTGCAGCAGTTATGACAACTCCTAGTCGCTACTAACGGGACAAGGTGCTGATCCCTAAGTTAAAGAAAAAAAAAAAAATCACAGTAACGGTGCTAATTGCAATTTTTTTTTTTTATTTTGGATTTTTTTTGTTTGTTATTTTATAAATAATGATCTTTCCTGCCTATACCACTAAAAAAAAAAAAAAAAAGATTACAAAAGAGAAATGTGCACAGTCTGTACTAACCGTCACGTGTTCAAGAACCTTTGAATTGTTGGTTGAACAAAACACCCAGAAAAGAAAACTAAAGACCTCTGATGTAAATGTATGTTGTTGACAATATTATATATATGCTACCATGTGTTTCAGGGCTTTAATTGGCGATGGATTTGAAACATTAACTTGAGGAGACGAAACTGTAAAAGTCAAAAATAAAGTTTCTAAATAAATGCTCCCTCTGCTTGCTTTCTACTAAACTAACGGTTTAGTTTTTGCACTCTTTTGGTGGTGGACTCCTTTTTTTTTTTCTTTTTTTGAACGATTTTGTGTATTTTTGGTTTTTGATCTTTTGACTACTGCTAAATCAGCTGTTCATCTTTATTTTCCATACAGATTCCGTGTCCTGGACAAGGAACACGCGTGTACTGGTATTTTAAAAGCAATAAAGAGGATATATTGTTTGGACGTTTTAAACGAGGGGAAAATCTCGCAGGCTGAGAGTTTTTCTCACACATAGCATGTTTCTACTGACACTGAGAACACGACCAAACCCTTTCCATGAATAAAAGATTATGAAACGATCTGGGAATCTCTGCATGCATTCATATCTGCGCTTCTTTCTCCTCCGTGAAGGACTTTCTATTGAAGTGATCTGACAAGAGATCAGTGTGACACCAGGAGGCAGGAGTTTTTTTTTCCCGTTTTTGTCACATTTTTTTGTCGTCTTTGGACTTTAAAGCAGAAACGTATCCTCTCCTGTCATCTGTCTGAGTCACGTTTTATATATATAGTGTCTCTATAATGCTGCCTGTAGCGACTTTTAAAACCTTTCCTTCATAATTCAGTTTAAAACCTAAAAGACAAATCAGTTTTACAATCCTCTAAAACAACTTCTTCTCCCTTTTCCCTGCAGTACATGTTTTCTTTTGCAGTGTTTTTCTCTCAAACATTATCAGTCTGTAGACTCAGGGGCAAGCTGTTTGAATTTGTGTAGAGTTTATTATATGTCATTTATAATTCATTAGCTAAAATAATAGATTTTTTCTTATTTTTTTAGAGGGATGGAAACAACAAAAAATTTTCTTTGTTTTTTTCTTACTTATTGGTTCCCAAATCAGCCAAACGTAGTTTACATGTCCACATTTTCTTTCTTTCTTTCTTTCTTTCTTTCTTTCTTTCTTTCTTTCTTTCTTTCTTTCTTTCTTTCAACAGTTTACGCGTTCTTTTTGTAAATGCAAGGCTTCATGTCAACCCAGCTTGTGCATGTGCCAATCGTTACCTGAACTTGGTCTTTAACTTATTTGGACGTAACGGTATCATTTGTTTAGCTATAATCCTGAAGTCAGCATTGCTTGGTGTTTGTCCATCAAACAGTAAAGGATAAGGAAAGGTGTTCTGTCATGTTCCTCAACACTTTCCAACAGCTGCTTACCTGATCTGAGCTCCAGAACTCCTCAATATAAAACTTCTTAATGTCTTGTAGTGGAGCCTTCAGATGGTCTCCATGTCTGATCCAGTGTTCACATTTCTACTCTTAGTGATGACCAAGTCTGCGTACTCACATTTTATCCATGTGTGACTTGGAGAAACGTGGAAACAACACAAAGGTTTTCTATTTCTTACCACTTTCCTACAAATGGTTTCCAGACCTGAGTGGCTTCTATGGATGTCTAACCAGTTTGTTGAACCATAATTCTTACCGTTGGTGGTTACCAGAGTGAAGCATGCATGGTCTCTGACAATCCGACGGTTTGTCCGACCACATGGACACAACATGTGCACTTAGAGCCACTAAGAAACCCTCAGACGACCACAGACAGACAGAAAATATTAACCAACACGAGTGACTGAAACTGTTTGAGTTTGTAGAATCCTGCACGGCCTCTCCTTTATGTTTAATGCTGTCAGTAGAGGAATTATGTTACATCAGCCCAGTGAGTTTTATGTTATTCTGGCATTGCAATAGAAAGCATATACTTATTTATTTTTCATGTTAGTTGCTGTTCATAGATTCTTCTACATGTGGAGAATCTAGACATTAAACACATAGAGCTACAAAACAAAACAGGTTGATATTGCCCAGATGCTGCTATGAGTAGAAAATGCAGGTAAAACATGTTGTAGTTTGAGCTGAAGCAGCCCAACAGCTCACTTTTTGCTTTTGTTAATCTGTCAGCTTGTTCCCGTGATGCAGACGTGGACTCCAGGCTGTAATCATATTTTAAAATGAAAGCAATAAGATGCTGTTTAAACCTTTTTTTTTTTATTAAAAATATTTTTAAGCACAAGTTAAAGTTGGGAGGAGCTGCGCTTGGACAAGTTTACAACCTCTGTGTACAGAAATAGATTCAGAAGAGGCTGCAGTTTGTGTTAACGTACCGTCATTCTAACACACACACACATGTGAGTTGTGACTGGTTACCGCTGCCGTGTAGTTTAGCTTTTGAACTTTTCTTTTCACGCCGTCAGATTCCTCATTGGTGATTTCTCTCACTTTTTACTGAAAATAATCAGCAGGTGACTTTAGTTTAGTTTTTAGCTCGACAGTGTCCAAATGGAGCCTTGAATCTAATGACGTTAAGTCTGAAAACAAGGCTAAAGTTGTCTGTCAGTGTTCAACATGGCAGCACACATTTGTATGTGCAGAAGTGCTTAAACAATACGACTCAGCGTTGCTAATGAATTTTAGTTTAGAGAATCAGAAACGTTGTAAGATGAGTTTACTCTGAACATAAACTGGAGCGTACTGCAGCCCGAGCACAGCGGTGTATGTGGCAAATCTGTTTAAAATAAGCAAAACCGCAAGAACATTACGTTCACAAACAAGCAACAGTTGTTTGTGCCTCCAGAGTCTTAAACACAGTCTCCTGCCTGAGTGTTGAACCGTGTTACACTCGACTGTCTAACTCTGACTGTACACAACGCTGCTCGTGGTCCCCTGGGAGACAGCAGAGGGAGAGCCGGAGCACCCTGTTACCATCCCCACCCGTTCATCCAGACTCCAGTGTCAGGAAACAACAGCTGAGCCTGGTCCACAAAGCCTGAAGTCCCTCCCTTCAGCCGCAGAGCTCCTCCTTCGTACTGTCTCTCGCTGCAGCTCAGACGGGGGAGAGGGAAGTCGTTTAATAGAGTTTTTTTTTTTTTTTTTACAGTGGAAGTCCTTCTACTGGAAGTTAAGAAAAGCGATCTCACAAACTGATGTTGGTTGAAGACTCTCTGGCTTATTGAACATGTGTGTTGGGTTGTGTTTGGATGACGGCGTATAAAAGCGATGAATGTGAAGTGACACATTTCACACAGGATATTCACGGCTTTCAGGACTTACATGTTTCTTGCTGTGCTCTTGTTTCTGATTCAAATACATCTCAAGCTTTTAGAGAAACTTCTGATGTTTCCCTGCAAAATTTTGGCTTTAAGTTCAGACAACTTCACAGAACCGCGCTGTAAAAATATACAAACCTATTTGTTTTTGCACATACATCTAAGCTCCTGAAACTTTGGATAAATAGTTGGATTGACAAAGAAGAATCCGACAAAATTGTTTATACTTTTAATCAAAACCTATTTAATCAAGAAGTTTTTTTTTTGTGACATAAAGACACTTCAAATTATTCTAAATCCGAACTAAGACAACATGAAATGACCATTAAAATCCTCAAACTTCCATTGATAGCTTGAATTTTACTACTATAATAAAAGTCATTTTTTTAAATGAAGCATCTATTCTGTAATATTTACTTGTGCTAGCATAAAAATGAACAAAGGCTCAACTAAGCATCTTATTGAATTGACTTTTTAAAGCAGCCAGGTTACTTTTTCCCTAATAGTTGAACGTTTGGAATTTTAGGCTCGATCAAAACTATGTCCAACCTTGCTGGCTAAACGGTCACAGAGCTCTTAATCACATTGAAAACCACCTCGCTCACGTACGACAATCACATTTTAAACCCAACTAAAGAACAATCACAAAATTGCTCATTCAAATATCTGGATTTATTAGTATTTATTCCCATAATTCCTTACGCAACACAGAACTGCCTTCAGTACATTATTAAACACTGCAAATGAACAGTACTCATACTTACCTAAACAGTGAGAGGCTCCCCCTGGTGGTGCAACCAGATACTACAAATAGTTGACAGTATTTTTTCTGACATGCATGCTCTTTATCTGAGGGCGGCACGGTGATGCAGCGGTTTGTGCTGCTGCCTCAGAGCTAGAATGTTTGGATGTCAGCCTGGCATCTTTCTGAGTGTGCATGTTCTCCCTGTGCCTGCGTGGGTTCTCACTGGGTGCATGTTGAGGTTAATTGATGTATTAGCTGTGGCGCCACAGAGGATAAAGTGGTGTTCAGATAATAGATGGATGTTCTTTGTCTTCTGCCTTATCTATTAATATAGTTTTAATTGGTTATTGAAGGCCAAAAGATTAGCAACTGATGTTGCCTAAATGACTGAATGGGTTAGTTTGGCAGTGCTAAACGTGGCTGAGGTAGTAAAAACCTAAAATTGTTTTTACAGAGCAGATGTGGTATTGCTCCTTTCTTTCGTCTGTGTACACTGAGTTAATATGCTGTCCCAGTTTTCACACTTTTCTTCATTTCTTTTTAATTTTTTAAAAAAATTTAAAGACACATACAATATTCTATGTTTATATAACTTGGAGATTTTTTTTTTAATTTTTAAAAATCTTTTTATTCTTTTCTTCTTTTTTTTTTTTTAGCGGTTTAATCAGTGACCGGCTTCTTAATAAAGAAGAAAGACTGATATATTTTAATAAGTTAGATTGTTATTAGGACTGTACTGTCTGACACTAAATACTTAATATAGTCACGGAAAAACTGGATTTTACAAGTATGGTAGAGTTTTAACCATAATATATAAATCATTCAGCTGCATTCACTCTATACATAATACTCTGCAGTCTGAAAATTAGTATTTGAATAAGTCAGGATAATGTCCATATATATTTATATGTGTAATGAATACAAACACAGTATAAATACAATGCAAATAAGTCAAATCTTTGTAGGGTTATAAACCTAATATGTACAATTCTCAGGTAAATTCATGTCGTAGTTAACACCTATGGGGTCTTAAGATTTGAACTTGTTAGGATAATTGTGCAATTTTGCAATAATAACAGTTTTCCTGCATTGTACTGAATGTTACTGTACATTACCTGTTTACTTGGTACTTTCTATCAAATGCTCTTTTGCACTTTTAATAGTGTATTTATTTTATTGCTATTCTATTATTTATATCACCTTTTAACTTTTTTTTTGTTTTTCTTAGTCTGTGACCATATGAGCTGCTTCAAGGATGACGCCAAACGAAATTTCGTTGTATTTTTTGTACAATAAAATAAAGCTTCTTCTACTTTTTTGCTCTCCACTGTTTGCACAGATTTATGTTTGTCCATTACTGTCTACTAGTTGCACTGCACTATGTGTATATATGTATTTAACCTAATTCTTTTTAAACTAATGTTATTTTTAAGAGTATTTTGTGTTGTATTACTGCTGATTGCTGTAAGTTTGCACACAAGTTCTGTTGTATTTTCCACAATGACAACAAAGCCTATTTTAGTTTGTTTCTTATTTTTCTACTGGATTGGAAGCATTTTGTTGTAATACTTGTTGTTTTAAATGCATGTTTTCATGTGATGGGAGCTGACTAATCCCACCGATCTCTTTACAGGCTCTCAGACCTTTCTTTTCTTACATTATTTCATTTGATTCGATGAGTCATTCACTCCAATTAAACCGGTTTCACACATTAAACACTTTTGTCGCCTCCAAGCGGAGAACCGGCTTCGGTGCACTGCACGCTGGAACGTTACAACCGGTAGACGCCAGCCGACGAAACCACCGCATCTCCGGCCATTACTGCGATGTGATTGGATTCACTGAGAAACCCAGGTACCGACACGCTGCTTCGGGATTGGCTGAACCAGAAGGGGACGTCGCAGTCGCGTTAGGCCATTGGTGCACGAGTCTGGTGCCTAAATCTTATTGGCTGTGCGTCTCCGAAAGGGGCGGGACATCGTGTTTGGTTGCGGAGCTGGAACCGGTAACCGAGCACTCCAGCACGTTGTGAAGCCGCTAGTGTACCTGGCAGCCAAACGAGGTGATTCAAAGAAATCACTTGTTTCTAAAGCAGCGTATTTTTTGATAACTACCCCATTGGTAAGTCGCTCTCTTCAATGAACCTTCTAGGATGTGATACTTCATTTCAATATGTCTCTCTTGCCGTACTCGTGTGGTTAACTGGGTCGCTCTTCCGGGCTCCGTCTACTTCGTGGTGTGGAGATGGTGGCTGCTAGCAACCTTTGACATTGCAGCTCGGATGCTGTGCTTAAATGAATTGAATTAAACGATACTTACGGTTTAAACGCAGCTAAAATTGCCAACGAGCTGTGTGGTGGTTGTTAATGTGTTGAAGCGTCGGCGTTTATCCACCACTACGACTGCATGGTTTCACTTTGGCTTTCCAGGAGATACCCACCGCCCCAGTGTAGCCCACTTCTAGCCCTCATTCAGTCGTGACTCCCTCCCTTCCTGTCTTTCTTTGCCGCCTTCTTGGTCAAAAAAATTCTCGTCATTTCGCTTCTGAATTAATTTTCAAGCCACTCTTGGCGGTTATCTCCTCGACCCAGCTAGCCGGCTAACTTGGCGCGGCAGGAACGGAAAAGTGTGGCCGGGGACCAGCCGGGACACGTGCTGCTCCTGAAACCGAGCTGTAGCTGCCCTAGTTTGGGGGCCGTGTGCTCGTCCAGCTGTCGCGGTTTAGCCTCGTAGCGGGCCAGCCAGCGTGCCATTTGAGCCCAGGTTATATCTGGAAACCGCCAGTGGACTGCCCTAAAGTCCCAGCGACGTGTGGGGCCGTCCTGAGTGGTTTGTAGGCCGGTGGAGACCGTGAAAGGCTCCGTCACTGCGGGCACGGCGTGGCCTTTGTCTGCCTGCCATGCTTGCACTTTTCCACAGCCTGCTCTCCGGTGTAGCTGCTGCTGCAGTGTACCATGACTTTAAGCTCATTTTATTACATAGGTGCTTTTAAATCTAAAGTTTAGCCACTGTTAGCTGGAGGCCACAAACGCCCTTTTTTACCCCCCTTCTACTGGCTATTTCACCGATTAATCGATTTAGCAAAGATGGTTGAAGTTAATTTTAATTTGACCTGAACGATGCAGCATAGTAAGAAACTGACATAATGAAGTGTATTACTGTAGGTTTACACTGGCAACTCCAAAATGTGAAATATAAATACAGAAAAGAGGGCTTATTATTTAACCCTTACATATATTCATGTTTTATGCCCTCCTGTCATAGTAGGTGTCTATACCAAATTTTAAACTACTAATCTATTTAGAATGTGTAAATTTCCTTTGCCACATTAATACATGTAAATAAAATACACATACAACAAGGCCTGTACAATTTCAGTTTCTGCACTCAGATCTAAAATCCATCTCGATGCATAACTTGACCCGAAACAACCTCAGTGTACAAACATCTGCAGCACCTGTACAAAAGTAGAACATTTCAAAAATATTTGTGTATTTTGGGTCACTTAAGGAAAAATCAACAGATTTCAGGCTAAAAGATGAACGTTTAAGGTATTTTTTGTGCTGTCAAACATCAAAACAGGTCAAATTTGACCCGAAACAGTATGTAAGGCTGAAGTCAGTAGTGCAACACTGACTGTGGATACTTTGCAAGCACAGACAAACTAAAGCAACTTCTTTTCAACTGTTTTGGACAGTTGCTGTCAGACTTTGGTTGTAGCTTTACATTTCATGAAAATAGAGCTGAAATCACCACACACACCAGTTGTTTAACCTCTGTGTTTAGTGAGTTCACTGGATTTTGGTGGTGCAGAGCAGCAACCTGGGTACAACATCAGCTCCATGTCTCTTTTTCATACTCTAAACTGTAGCAGTGACTCCAGCCATAGTCACTGGAGGAGAAAACAAATCATGTGGTGATGCTGAATAAAAACATTTCTTCTAAATTCATGTTACAATAACATGTATTGATTACATACATCAATGCTGACGCATTTTCAGCGTCTGTGCCATCAGTCATGGCAGCTAATTTGCTTTACATTAGATCTGTCTCAGCACACCTTAAGCTGTTGGGTTACTTTACCTCGTCACTGTTGGCTTAGCCTGATGCATCAGTTAATGTTTACTGGATGTGTGTCGTTTGCAAAGTGTGTGCCAGAACAGCAGATGGCTCGAGCTTGTGTGGACAGGTGTGGCAGACAGTCCATTAAGGAGGAGCACTTGTTTCTGTGGTTGCTGAACGGACATACCAGTGTATTTGCATGTTTTAGCTTCAATACCACAAATCAAATGTGTAGTTCTTGTTTCTGCAGTGGTTGGTGGTAAGGCTGCTGATAGCCTATATCTGTATTGTCGCCAACAAATCCAATGAACAGGAAAAAAAATAATTCAAAACCTATACGAGCCCAAAGTAATTATATTCTATGTATACCAAGATCTTCATCTTTGTCCAGTTGCTATTAGCAAAGACCAGGTAGGGATCTCGACACTGGGGGCTTAGCCCAGCTCTGCACTCATTGGATTTTTACCACTAATTGCACTGTTGAAGTTATTTTGGAGTTCAATTTCAATTCAGTTCTCAACATATGTCATCTCATAGCATTTAGCATGTTAAGGTGAAGACAGTACATATTTAGAACAGAGAACCCAACGATCCAAAGGTTCCCTTTGGATTCCCTTTGAGTTGACAATAGTGGGAAGGAATCAAAAAACATCCCATTTAACAGAGAGGAAGAAAATCTTTAGACAGAACCAGGCTCAGGGAAGGCAACCATCTGCCTCAACAGGTTGGGGTGAGAATGGGGAGGAATGATGAGTTCAGATGAAAGGAAAATGCGAGTCACTGTGCTATCAGTAAAGAAAGGTCATTCCTCTTTCTTTCCTTCCTTCCTTCCTTCCTGTGATCAGTCCTTGTTGGATGTCGACAGATTTTTTTATTTTATTTTTCTATCTCATATTTTTTTTATTATTGTAAAATGGGTCAAACTTTTACAAGCAATAAAATAATATCCAACAGTGTTTGATCAGCTGTATTATATTGGGTCCTTTAATGCATGATCAGAATGACACATGAAAAGATAGAGAACTAATTTATACAAGAGATTTTTACATTTATACAAAACAAACAAACAAGCTATTCATAAAACATTTAAGGCTACAGTCTGTGACACCCAGGCCTAACGACGCCACTGCCGATACGGAACACATCCAAGCCAATCACTGGAGAGCCACTGTAGTCCATTTTGATTCAATTTCAAAGATTCAATAGGAACTGATGGACTTGTGCCTGATTGCTATAGACAGACTGGGGAATTCACAAACATGAACTTATTTATTTTCCCTGCCTTCCAGGCAGACATCGGTTTCAGTTCATGTCAGTGCAGAATGAAAATCAACTAGCAGAGACTTGAAAGTTTCTCGGAATGGGCAATCTATGAAGTCTGGCAGGCTTGACAGCTGTGTTTGCAAATATTCATAAAGGTAACGGCTCGCACTTAATGGCAGCATAAGCACCAAGTTGCATTTAACAGATAAAAATATGGAGGAAATGGGGAAGAACGTGTTGAAGCCTGCGTTAGTTTTCACTGTAAACTATCCTTCCTGTCATGTTGTTACAGCAGGACTCAGAGAAGATCTTGTCAAGAGGTCAGTACCTGTAACTGTATGACAGGCAGCCATACAGCATGACAGAAGTTTACCGAAGACGTGCTTTTTGTTTTATGTAGATTACCAGAGGTGATGGAAATTTCAGCTACTATGGAAATTAATATCAGAATCTGCCTTGGGAAGGAAAAGATTGACAGTTTTGATACTTCAAGAGAGCCTGGTATGTCGTGCAATACATCTTAGCATTTTATCAGCCACTTTAGACTTACTACTGGTCAGTTACTTCAGCAATATTATGCTCAAGTTGAAACCCTCCAAAGCAGGACATCCAAGTGGCTAGCTATTTAGATGTGTTGGCTACAACCAAGATGGAACAGTTTTTGATTGAACCACTTACATCAGCAGCAGTTGATGAGGTAAAGAGATCAAAGTAGCATATTTCAGTAGATGCATCCACACACACCCTCTGGGTTATGTCCTCAAAAGAGAACATTGTATGTGCTTTTGGTTTTCATTCATTTTTGAGCAAGGAGAGGGCAGCTGAAAATCAGTGCCATTGCAGTGCAGTGACTGTGCACTTTCAGATTTGTATCCACACAGTAAGAAAACAAATGCCTGGGTTTGTTTTTCATGCCCTGGGCGGGCTGTTTTCATGTCGGTGCACCCAGATGGGGCAGTAAACGCAGCCTGTATTGCAGATTGGACACATTTCATGCTGCTGCCATAAACATATTAAAAACGAGCCTGTAACGTACTAAGTTGGATATTGTCGAGTCTTGTAAAAACAGAGGTCATATTTACCTAACCGGTTATACGCTTCAGCTTGTTCATGGCGTTGGACACGACGGCTCTGCAGTCAGGACGGCCAGATGACTCTCACTGTCTCATGCTTTGTAGGATAACGTTAACCGATGCATCTCATATCAGGAACACAGTTTTGTGCACAACAACAAAGACAAAATATTTATCCAGCTCTTTGGTTACCACAGAAGTTGCCATGGCATCTCATCATCCAATGCTGCTTTCACATTTTGTGTGTTGCTCAACCCATGGTATGAATTTGGTAATGCTCAGTTCTAAGAATCGGTTGGTTTGAGAGATGGAGTTATTAATGCATATTGCCAAATATGTGTTTACAGTAAATCTTTTGGCCTTGAAAATGTCAAATTCCGAGAAAGCCAGCAAAACCCCTGATGGTATACACTGGGGAGGGTAGAATTTAAACAATACCTCAGTTTAACCTGATTATTTGACCAGTTATTTCATCCCCCCCCTCCTCCTGTAATGCATAATGAATGATGTAGTCATTGAGCCTCCTTTTCCTCCCTGCAGAGATTTCCAGTTGACCAAAGAAATGGTGATGGAGAAGCCAAGTGCCCAGCTGGTCGGGCGAGAGTTTGTCCGACAGTATTACACACTCCTGAACCAGGCCCCCGACTACCTGCACAGGTACAGACATAAGCTGTTTAACGGTCATGTGATCGAGAGTTTGCTGCAGTGTGGGCAGCTGTCAGATATATTACTGCATTTTAGGGTTACATCTTTGATCCTCCAAAGTTTTAGAATCAAGGAGGTGGTTTTAAGTCTGTATGTGAACAACCGTCTCTGCTGAAATTGTCCTCTTGGAAGAAATATAATTGTTGTTTTTGTGCTCAGGTTTTATGGAAAGAACTCCTCCTACGTGCATGGCGGCTTGGACAGCAACGGCAAACCAGTAGAGGCCGTTTATGGACAATCTGTAAGTACGCTTCACAACAGCAGAGAACATCTTTTTAAATGTTATTTCCATAGAGGACTGCACTTGACTCCCACATAGCAATACAGAGTGGAAAAAAAGTGTAAACCCCTGAAAGATGTTTGCAACAGCATGTTTGCCCTCGCGGACATAAAATGCTGATTCTGAATTCTTTGGGAAGGTAAAACATTTGTCTTATCCCCCCATTGTTGTCTGTTCTTATTAGGAATGTTCCTAATTACTAGTTTCCCCAGTTGGTTATCTGCAAGTTAAAATTTAGACTAGTCAACGAATCTGCTAATCGCTGAATCAATTTCTTTGCCACCTGGAGACTTTAAATTTCTTTCTTGCAACAACTCAATATAAAAATCCTCTTTTGTGTTTCAAGAAGAAAGCATTTGATCTGAACACTGCAAAATCAAAGCAACAGCAATCCAATAGAGGTGTGCCATTTCATGGTGTTTTAAAAAGCACACTTTCTAATCTTGCAACACTTCATCATATATTATGTGTTGAATACATACTCGTGACTTTGCGCAGCAGCTCCAAGCCTGGCTGACAGCACAGATATGGTTTCTACCAGCTCCACAGTGGAAGAGTTGGTTCAACACGGGAGTTATTTTGAGAAAACAGAGCAAATCTTAGCACAGCAGCAGGGAAGAAAATCAGGATGCATAAACCAGCGATGGCATTATTTTAAGGCAACATCACCCACCTCTAGTATACGGCGTGCTTTCAAAGCTGTGAAGTCTGGGTAGCTGCTCCGGTCTCTGCGTTTTGTTCGCTTTTAAGTGGTATAAGAGATTCATCCTCCAGAAAAAGCCACAGCAGCAGGTTTTCCTTACACCCAGACGCTATTTGATTTCTGTGAATAAGTTAAACTGAGTCAGAGACGCAAGAATTTATGAAGCGCTTTCCAAAGCGTAAACATCAACATATTTACTAGAAAAGACTCGGCATAGAAACAACACAACAGACAGCACAACAAAAGAGCAGAAACCGTTCAGAAAATGGAGAGTTTTGTTTTCAGTGACTGAATGTGGCGAGAAAAAAATGTTGGATCTAATAAGTGGTCGAAGCTCCTTTGGCAGCAGTAACCTTAGATTCAGCTTAACTGCATTCTTAAGATGGTTAGTGTGGACGGTGCTCTTTAAGATTATTTCACAGCCTCTCTGTTGGCTTCAGATCTTAGCTCTGACTGGAACGCTCCAAAGACAAGGGTTAAAGCAGTCGAGTCTCTACAGTAGATCTGCTGTGATATTTTGCATCTTTTTATTCTGCTGCATCACTCGTGCCTGAACAAACTTAGAAAATGGGATGATCGGAGCATATATCAAGACAAATTTCTGCTTTGCTTGTGCAGGAGATCCATAAGAGGGTGATGGCTCTGAGCTTCCGAGACTGTCATACCAAGATCAGACACGTGGATGCTCATGCCACCCTGAACGAGGGTGTGGTGGTGCAGGTGATGGGCGAGCTGTCCAACAACATGCAGCCCATGAGGAAGTTCATGCAGACCTTTGTGCTCGCGCCCGAGGTTGGTATAACGTCACAGCTTCAGCAGTTGATTTGTTAATGCCGCCCGCCTTAAGTAATATTTTATTATTTGACTGCAAATATTAACATGCAATATGATTTGTTTGTTTGCCCTCCAGGGTACGGTTGCAAACAAATTCTACGTCCACAACGACGTGTTTCGTTACCAGGACGAGGTGTTCGGTGACTCTGACTCTGAGCCTCCAGAAGGTGAGATGATTGTGCTTTGAACATGAAAAACCAAAGTCCAAGATTAAAACTCCTGCTTCATCAAGATTGATATTCAATTGTCTTTTATATAGAAGCTTAAGTGAAGATCATTAATTGTGCTTTTGTTAATTGTCACTAATTGTGACTGTCAGCTGAGCATTTAGTTATATTTTGTGGGATTTATCTTGAACAGCTAAATGTTCAAATAAAAACATTTTTTTATAAATTGCATTATCAGTCAGGTGCAATTATTTACTGTCCTGTTGATTTTTATTTTTCAGAGTCTGAGGATGAGGTGGAGGAGCTGGAGGAGAGGGTTCCATCTCCGGACGTTGCTCCAGAGGAGTCTGCTCCCTTCTATGACCCAACAGCCTGGTACGGGATGAGCTGCTTTATGGGGCTCTGCTATATGTTTACACTGAACACCAAAAACAAACTTTCAGAGGACCATGTGTCAGCATTTTGTGTGGTAATACTGCATCAAATGTGGATTTGATTGTCTTCCTTGGCAAGAGTTTCCTTGACACTGGACCCACTGTAAATGTCTCCGACAAGAAGTAACGGCTATTTGTCAGCTTGCATTTCCACAGTGCTTACATTTACCTGTGAAGGTTTAATCGTATATATTTTTTTAATGTATGATGCCTAAAGCTGCATTTTGGGTGCAAAGAAAAAAAAAAAGAACACAAAACGTCACACTTTTTGTCTGCCCCTACCTTAAGCAGCTTCATCTGGTTCCACAGAAGGAGGTTCTTCATTGTCTAAAGCCCAAATACTGTCTGTGTGTGTTTGTTTGCTTCTGCCACATCTGTCCTCACTTCATGGTTGTGCTGAAAAGGGACGATTATTTTGTCTTTTACAGAATCTGGTTAATGCAAACTCTTGCGTATTTGGTGATTTTAAAAAAAAATTTAAATAAGACTTTTAGAAGGAAGTGATTTTAATGACTTATGTCACAGAGCAGTAGTTTGGGGACTGGCAGGCTGTTGGTCTTACAGTTTGTAGCTCTTATGAATGTGTAACTCTAACAAAACTAAGACGGTATGCCTTTCTGCTGAAGGAATTTGGTGTTAAGGGTTGAAATATGCTTTTGTTTAAGAAAGCAACAAATAATAAGTCATAATCTGATCTGTCCTCATGAGCAATGTGTATATTTTATGTGTTCGTTTTTCATCAGCCTAAGTGACATTTCTCTTTTCTCTTTTGTAGTTCGGAGCCAGCAGTTCCTGGTGACGAGGAAGAGGCAGCAGCAAGTCCAGAACCAGAGCCAGAGGTGGAGAAGGAGGCCGAGGCCGCTGTGTTGGAGCTGAAGTCGGAGACGATGCTAGAGACACAGACCGATGGCCACACGACCGACGACCAGACAGAGAAAAGCCCTGCTGCTGCCACTCCACCAACTACAGAACCTGCCTCTGCGCCTGCTGAACCTGCCCCTGCCGCTCCAGAAGAAAACAGAGTAGGACTGAATGTGTGACACAGATGCTCGCTAACAGTGATGTGAAGATGGCTTACATGGGAAATATGAGCCCTAATTGTCATGTTTGTGTCCTCAACAGCCGTTCTCCTGGGCGTCAGTCACCAGTAAGAACCTCCCTCCCAGCGGTGCTGTCCCAGTCTCAGGAATCCCCCCACACGTCGTCAAAGTCACTCCCACAGCACCGGTAGGTTTTAGCTCCTCCTATAAAAACTTTGCTTCGGAATATTTGAAATCAGTGTCATAAAATCAGTGCAGTGAATTCATCCAGCATGCAAAACACAACATGAAAAGTAACGTGATCCTACGTCATTATAGTGCCCCAACGGAAGTTTCTTCGTCTTGCCAAAGAACACATGACTTGTGGTGTCCTGGTATTTTGTGGCAGCAGTTGTCATTGTTTTTGAGCAGTGGCAAGCTCAACATTTTCGTCTTCTGTTCTGTTATGCTGCGTAAAGATGAAAGCAGATGACAAATTTAGGGCGAACAGTCTCTTCAGCAGTCTCAGTATTGTGCCTTCTGTTTATTCCATTGTTTTACATCTCAGAGAGCAGAGATTGCTCTGGAATTTTTTGCCAGATTAGAGATGAAGGCAGCAGCACAGGACGAGACCTCCCCTGCTGCTCATACCTGTGTGATGATAATCCAAGTTGTGGTTCTTTATCTTTATTCCTTGTGTTGAGCAACAGATTTAAAAAGAAGAATGAACTATTTTCTTATAAAAAATGTATTTTGTTGATTGTTGCAGCCCAGAGTGGAGGTGAAGTCAGAGTCCCAAACAGCAACACAGAGGCCACAGAGAGACCAGAGACCAAGGGAACAGAGGCCTGGAGGTCCTCCTCCGGGTAACAGAGGACCCAGACCAGGTACACAAACAGTAATACAGCAGTTCAGCTAGCTGATGGCAGTTGTGACAGGCCAACCATGAGCTTATTAAACCTGTGAAAGTAAATGTTTCTTGTTTTATTAAATGTTTGACATTGTAGGAATATAAAACTGATTGGTCTTAATGTATGAGTCACAACACTGAATTTATAAAACAAGGCGCGTTCCATCTCCACATGTCCTCAGACTGACCTGTTGATTGTTCGTGTTTCAGTTCGGGAAGGAGAGCAGGGGGAGTCAGAGGGTCGCAGGGCGACCAGGTACCCCGACGCCCACCAGCTCTTCGTTGGCAACGTCCCTCACGACGTGGACAAGACAGAACTCAAGGAGTTCTTTGAGCGTAAGTTGGATTGACACATCAGTGTGATGTAGCCTTGAATGGCCGAACACTTTACCATCATCTTAACCCTTTTAGTAACACAGGTCGCAGTTTACAAAGGGTTAGTTTGTAGTTAAACTGTCAAGAAACTAATCGCTGAAGGAAAATAAGGAAGTGGTTTATGGAGCTTTGACAGATAGAAAGCAAATGTTTACATCATATTGGGGAATTTACTTTGTGAAGTGTTTATGCTCAGATTCAGAGTTTCTAGTGAAATGCAGGGTGTACACTGTGTTCATTTTAACAGTGATTAAAGAACATGTTTGCCTCCTCTCTTTCAGAGTATGGTACAGTCCTGGAGCTGAGGATCAACAGTGGAGGGAAGCTACCAAACTTTGGCTTCGTGGTGTTTGATGACTCTGAACCTGTGCAGAAGATTCTCAGCAACAGGGTACGATACTTTATTGGCTAAATGGACATTGTGTTGTATTAACTTTGAGCTTTCATCAGTGTTTTCTTTGAATGCCACACCAGATATTTGATAGTCCAGTTTGCATAATTAAAATACACTGAACTACTTGCTGCTTGGCCCCTCTTTGGCAGTTATTTGTCCTGTATTCATCTGTTGGTACTTTGAGTTTGCTCAGTTGGAACTGACTTCACTATTGGGGCTGTTCTGGCTTTAGTAGAAAAAAAATCTGCTCTTTTATTAGGTTGTGATGTGATTGTTCTTTCCCCCTCTTCAGCCCATCAAGTTCAGAGGCGACGTCCGCCTGAACGTGGAGGAGAAGAAGACCCGCTCAGCCAGGGAGGGTGACAGGAGGGACATGAGGCCCCGGGGTCCCGGTGGTCCTGGTGGTCCCAGAGAGCGAATAGGAGGCGGCGGAGGACCTCGCGGCCCCCCCACCCGTGGAGGCATGGCACAGAAGCCCAGCTTTGGGTCTGGGCGCGGAGCCGGGCCCAGCGAGGGGCGCTACTCTGCCCCACGCCAGTGAGGCACCTGTCCTCCAAACCTGAGTTAGATTACTGTTTGGATTCAATTTACTTGAGTGGTTATTGATTTGCTGCAGCAGGAACTGATTGGACGAAGCCAAATTTTAAAGAAAACCCCTCACTTTTACTGTGCACCAAGGAGAAACAATCAGTAGGAATTATTCATTTTGGGATGCTCCTCCTGCATGGGCGGATTTCTGACTCTACCTCCTCATTCTTTCTCCAGAATGTACAAGTATTCAAGAGGGATTTCTGTTAGTAATCGACGCAGGTTTGGTCGAGAGCTTTCACCATCAAGTCACGCCAGCTCCTGCTTAATTCAGCAGCCAGTCTCGACATCTGTCTCTCATGAAGGTGGCTGCCTCCTCTTCCTCCCCCCACCCCACCCTCATTCTTGTCCTCCTCCTTTTTTCACCTGCTGCTTGTCATTTACGTTCAGAGGAATCCAGGATGTCACGCCTCATCCAGCTCCACACCTCCACCTCCGTCACACGAGGTCCGTTTATTTTCTTTGTGGCGCTGGCAAACTGTCGAATGCTGAGTGTTTGCAGCAGCAGCGGTGCAGATGACTCCACCCCAGGGAGTTCTGCAGGATGCCGTCTCTGTTGTTGGTGAAACCTTCCGGGCTTTCTTGGTCACTCGGTGGAGTATGTACAGTCTAATGTACAACACACGTAACCCCACCTGTGGAGGCGTGGCACAGAAACCCAGCTTCGGTTCTGGATGAGGTGCATCACTCTGCCATGTGTCATTTCACGAACCTGGGTTCTGGAGTCAGGTTACTGTTTAGAGTCAATTTTGTCAGTTTGTCAGAGTCAGTTGTTATTGATTTGTTGCAGTTGGAACTGATTGGACAAAGCAATGTTTAAAAAAAAAAAAAAAAAAAAAAAAAGTCCTTGTTGTATTCTGCACCCAAGAGAAAAAAATGTAACTTGGAATTCGTCACTTTGGTTTGTTACTCATGCATGGACTGACTTCTGACTTGTTTCCTCCTCATTCTGTCTCCTGAATGTACAAATATTCCTAAGGGTCGTTCCCGTCAAGTCGCAGCTGCTGCTGCAGCATCCAGTCTTGATTCTGTCTCTCATGAAGATGGCTGCCTCCCTAACGCCGCCCCGACTCCATTCTTCTTCTTCTTCTTCACCTGCTGCATTTCCCTTTTCCTCTGAGGAATCCAGGTTGTCACTCCTCACTTTTTGCCCTTTCCATCTCTTCCTACTGTCTTCTTTTTTCTCCACCAACACGTATATTATCTGGACTTTTGTCTTTTTTTTGTTTTTTTCACGCTGAACTTGAATTTATTAAGAAACAAACCGAAACACGCAAATACATGAAAAAAAAAAAGGGTAAATACTACTTGAATTGGGGATTAAAAAACCCAGAGGTTAGGTTTTTTTTCGCGTTCTCTCTCCCTGTTTCTTAAAGGAACGTGTACTTTACTGCTTGGGCAATCCTGTGTATTGCTGCCACCGTTGTATCTAGCGATGGATCTGTCTTATCTTTTTATTCTATCAGGTCAAGAGCTGAACTGTAGTGGTTTTATTTGAGTAATAATGTTGGCTTGTAATATGTGGATTCACAGACGCGTCTGAGTGGAGCATGTATCAAATCATGTATCAAAACCTGTTGTTAGGCTTCTACTACCGATGCACTTCATCGTCATCATGTTTAATAAGAGCTCACCTGCCGATGAGAGAACTAAATTAAAAGTGATTTACTGTTTTAAACTTGGTGTCTGCTTCATCTTGTTTTGGCTCTGCAGATGGCTTTGAGATCTTCTGACTGGATGCTTTAGTTTGTTCAGACAATAGATGCTACGAAATAACATTTAAATGTAAGAAAACAACTCTTCTAATCTACTGCATAGTGAAAGTAACAGCAGTTGAATCCTCTTGCAAATGTTCACAACAAGTAGTTCTCTGACAGATATTATGGTTTGATTTACAATAAAATCTTCTGTTTTGAAGTCACCCCTGGGTTCAGTATTACCACATGACAGCATCAGAAGCCAGACTCTGTAGAGTGATCGCCCTAACGGTTTAAACCCGGGCTCAGACGTGCTGCCTTTGTGATTTCTGTTCATCAACAACAACAAACGTGTATCTTACAAGCTGATTTCTGAATTTAGCTGCTGGAGTTTTAATATCCTGACGTGTCGTGTCGTGGCTCACCGGGACACTTCCGTAGAACAAAGCCTTCATTAATTTTCCTGTGCTGTGTCCACTGTGACAGTCGGAGCGGCTGCTACGAGAGATGTGGCGCCGCAACGTAGCCGTCGAAGGAGAACCGTGTCAGAATGTATTAAGTCAACTGTCTTCCCCTGTGCACCTAAATGTGCAACTGAAACAAAAAAAAAGTTCCTGAGCAATAAGCGGCTAATTGAGCCCTAACAGCTGTGGCGGGGCGCTCCTGCGTCCTGTTGGTTTCACCTGGACATCCTGTTGCTATAGCAACCGCTACTGACAAAGCTGCATAGCAACTACAGTTTATTGGACACTGTTACATCCACAGATCTGTGTCAGATTACTGTAAAACAAAACTAATAATGATGTCAAAAACTAATCCAAACAGCAGTGTTCTGTTCTATTTTGCCCCCCCCCCCAAAAAAAAAAAATCCAGTTAAATAGTAACTGATGCATTTTTCGAGCTAAAATCAAGAATGAACACAGCAAGCTGCTGTAAAACCTGATGCTGTGGGCAAGACATTTTTGCACAGCAGTTTACAAACCACTGTTCAGACCTGCGATTTGATTTAAGCAGCACAGAACATTATTGGTAACTTTTACTCTGATGCCCAGAGATGGTCCATCCATCTGTCCATTATCTATACACCGACCTCACGAGGGTCGTGGTCACATTCACACCTACAGACAATTTAGAATCATCAATTAACCTCAATATGTTTTTTGTACCTTGTGGGAGGAAGCCGGAGAACCCGGAGAGAACCCACGCTGCACGGGGAGAACATGGAGACTCCACACAGAAAGATCCTGGTTCACCCACCGGGACGCGAACTGCGACCTTCTTGCTGTGAGGCAACAGTGCTACCAACTGCACCACCCTGCAGCCCTAGTTTAGTCATTTACATTTAAAAAAGTAAATCAATTCTATTTGTATAGCTCAGTTTACAACACACGTTATCACACAGTGCTTTACATAGTCAGGTATAGACCTCACAGGTTTAAACAGAGAACCCCTGTGGATTCCCTCTGAGCAAGCGGTTAGAAAACACCTCTGGCAGAACCAGGATCAGGGAAGACGCCCATCTGCCTCGACTGGTTGGGTGAGAGTGGGGATGAGGAGAAATAGTCACTGCTGTGTTCAAGGTTTATTTACAAAAGGAGTGTTCAGCTGTCCAGGCAGCTACAACATGACATGCATCGTGAGCAAAGAAGAGTGTTGTTTGAAATGTTTTGATGCCGTTTCCCTTTTCTGTACTTCACATGGTTTTCTACACCTTACCTTCTACTTTCAATTATCACAAGTAAAAAATCTTAAAGGTTGAATGTTGCCTCAAAAGACTTCATCATGTCTTCATCAGAAATCCAATCAAAGAGTCCACAAACTGGATTAGACACTGAGACTTTGTAGTTTCATAATCTGTGACACTGAACGATTTCAGACGGTAACAAAAACAAGTTTTAAGTCAACATTTATCTTTTTTGGACCTTTTGTTCAGGTTCATGTAGTTCAATGTGCTTCATGGACGACTGATCAGCTGAGAAGACAGAACAGGTTCAGACTCTAATGAAGTGAAATAAAACTAGATTTAAATCAAACAGATAATAGAATCATAAAAACAATATAACAAGTATTTACGTTCAGCCCAACAAATGAGTCATTCAGATTAATCTGATAAAGATGCCAAAAGTAGTGCCAAACATCCTTCTAGTTAGACTGAAGTTACATTAGCTGCATTTTGTTCTTGGCCTTCCTACAAAAAGTCACAGAAGAAAGATTGTTTGATGTTTCAACAGAGTCTCCTTTAACTTCAAAGCACTTTGTCCACAGACAAAGGTCACATAGAAAGCTCCAGATACTCCTCAGCAGCACGCATGGCTTCATCATCGCTCAGCTGGGCAGCAGATAGAAGTCAGACAGTGCATCTGGCTGCGACCTGCTGCTGTGTGGATGCTCTGGAGCAACAAGTTTCCTCTCCTGTTTTCTTTGATTGCATTTTTTATCTGTTGCAATCCTGATCCGCTGCAGTCCCCCTCACTGGTCCGACCCTTGTGCAAGGTTTAAGCAATCTCTCACTGTCCCAAAGGCCATCATCTTGCCAACAAATGCCATTTACTTGACTTTTTTTTTTTTTTCCGAGCTGGAGAACAGGTGTGTTTTTACTGGGTCACAATCTCTTAAGAAATTTGGCAGCATCAGCCAGAAGCAGAGCCAAAAGTGTCCTGAAAATTTCCGTTCTCTTTTACCGTCTGACGTCAGCATTGTGGCAGCCATCTTGCAGACAGTTTGCTCATCTCCAGATTTTTTTTCTTGTGCACAGTTGACCCCCTAGCTGGGAGTCACGGCCCTTGTTTCAGAGAACTTTTTGCCGGACCATTGTAATACAGCTGAAACATGTCTTACATTCAGCTCCCGTCCATCCAGACTCCAGCTCTGATGAGGAGCCCTTCAGCAAACAGAACAAGTTTTGTCTGAATTATTTTTTTTATGTTTCCTCCTCATCTCAGCTTGCCTCGCTAACCTTCTTCTTCTTCTTGGACACGGTCTCATTTATTTTTTGCTCGGTTTTCGGTCCATGCGAGCCTCCCTCCAGGTGACATGTATTATACATCAGACAGATTTCCTCTCTGAGTGGATCAAAACCTTCCTCTTTACACACTCCTCGTGTCGAGATTGATCAGCCGAGGTTCCGAGCAGCTGTCCTGTAACTGACGCTGACCTGTGACCTCTCCGTGGAAGCCGCCAAGAGAAAATAAATAAATAAATACGATCCTCCCTGACCGATCGATGCTGCGCGGAGCAGAGATGAGCAGTAATAAATCCCTAAAGCCAGTCTTTAATGTGATGGTGTTTCTGCAGCAGCTGCCAGATCACAGAATGAGATCATGCTGCTTTCAGGAGCGCTGGAAATTAAACATGACTGCATGCAACTCGATGGGTTTTTTTTTTATCATGTAGAAAGGGAAATCTGAATCTGCAAGGAGCCCTGAAGTAAAATTGTGTGTGTGTTTTTTTTTAAAGACACTGTGAGATCATCCGTGTCATTTCAGATAGTGGTGTTGCTCCCCAGCTGCAGGTTTTGTTAACAGTTGTTTGGGACCCAGAAACTAACGTCTGTAAAATATTTTTGGCTGAATTTTAAGAATTTCATACGTTTTTTTTACCTGGGAATTTTTGTGAACAATAGTCCTCCCTGGGAAGCCATTTACAAGGTTCAGCAAATCCAGAGATATAACTCCCACAGATGATCCAACAGCTCCAGCAGAAGCTCCAACATTTTCAAATGCGGCTGGTCTAAAACAGTAAGTGTATAAATGGATGTTTCCATATTTTTTCTGCTAAACATACAGTCGTTGGTCAACGTTTCAGCAACGTTTGAGTCTCTAACATCAGTAGAATCTGATGTGGAGCAAGTCAAGACAAAATAGCAGTGATGTGGTGATGTGGTGACCTGGTGCTTCATTATACAGGCAAAGTGCAAGTTGAGGCTTATGTTGCCCTAATCAGTGTTCTTATACACAGACCTGGAATGAAGACTAAACAGAGAAACTGATGATAATTCAACACACATCACAGTAAATGTTTTATTGAATTCATTCAAACACACCATGATTTGTGCAACAGGACAAGTGAAACAGGAGCTCAGTGCCAAACGAAAGGCATCCAAAGAATCAATTTACATTTTATTTTTTGCAGAAAAGGAAATTCTCAAAAGCCACTTCAGTGTCTGTTGATGGTAATGTTGGACCTGTGAGCAGGATGTAAAGTTCATGCATCCAACTGATCAGCAACATACAGTCGTCCTCAAATGCATTCATACCCATTAAGGAAGGACAAACACAGCAGTCAGTGAAAAAAGTTCAAATTGACAAAAGTAATAAATAAAAATGTAATGAAGATCATGACGTTGCTTTTGAATTGTGGTTCAACAGAAATATATATATATATATGTATACATAAACAAGCAAACAAGCCTGCTGGGACCTGTAAACGAATATTTTGTTAAACAAGTGTTTTCTGTAACTCTCAGTCAGACTTCTGCACCTGTTGACAGGTGTTTAGATTTCACTGCTCATCAGCAGAGTGCTCGAATTTGTCTGGGACAGTTTTTATTTATTTTTAATTATTCTTTTAAACTACAATTCAGAAGTAATGTCTTATTTCACTAAATTATAATTTAGCACATTTTTATTTACTATTACTTTTTTCAGTTTCTAGTTATTTGAGTGACTGTTGTGAATTTTGCCTTTTCTTTAATGGAAGATTATGAAGACATTTAAGGACGACTGTATATCTGTAATTCAGACTAAATCTCTCTCTCTCTCTCTCTCTCTCTATATATATATATATAGAAACCTATCTCTATATAATTATTCTATATATTCTATAGCTCTTTACACAGAGATAGGAATAAATGCATACATTTTCATTTGCTAATCGCTAAAAACTGAAGCTGTCCTTGGATTCAACACAAACAAACACAAATTGATTTTCTACCCTTAATGATGGCTTAAATGCCCTTTTTAAAGCATTAGGGAAAAAAAAG